CCACTTCTGACTTTCTCTGTTTATTTGGTACTGAGGAATCAAACCTGGGGCTTCATGCATGTGAGGCAAGCACTCTACCACTGAGCCACCTTCCCAGCCCCTCTCCCCCCATCTTTATGTAGAGCTGAGAATCAGCTTGATGCTGTTAACTGACTGAAAAGATGTCTTCAGAATAACTCATGATCTAAAATTTTCTCATAATTCTACATGGCTCCCAACACCCAGGTCATTTATATATTCTCTGCAGAGATTTTTTTTTTAAACCATGAAATCTAAATATTTATGCATTTCCTGCAGAAAAAGATAGCTTACCCTTGATTTTACTTTAGATTCATAATTTCACTTATGAGAAAAATGAAAGCTCAGAGAGATGAACCATCATAGTACTCATCAGAAAGTGGCCTGGGATCCCACCTCAGGCTCCCCCTCCCCCCAGGCTGCCCCTCTCCCAGGCTGCCCTCCCCCAGGCTGCCCCTCCCCCCAGCTCCCTTAATGTTCAGTGCAATTTTTTAAAGGACAGTAAATGTTTAAAACATGGATGAGAGAAGCCGAGGATTCCTTAAGAGTTTTAATTTCACTGGCAATCTAGTTCTTGGAAGTATTTTAAGCGTAAAATTTCTTTTTGACTATATAGATAATCAGAAGGAGGTGTCCTCAGCTCTGTGTGTGTGTGTGTGTGTGTGTGTGTGTGTGTGTGTGTGTGTGTGTGTGTGTGTGTGTGTGTGTGTGTGTGTGTGTGTGTGTGTGTGTGTGTGTGTGTGTGTAGTTGGATTAGGACTTGAACTCAGGGCCTAAGCTTTTTTTCCTCAAGATTGGTGCTCTACCACTTGAGCCACAGCTCTGCTTCTGGTATTTTGCTGGTTAATCAGAGATAAGACTCCTACAGACTTTCCTTCCCAGGCTGGCTTCAAACTGTGAACCTCAGAGCTCATCCTCGTGAGTAGCTAGAGTCACAGGTGTGAGCCACCAGTGCCCAGTGAGTCCGTAGTTCTTTGTAGTAGCTGGGGACGCCCTCGCAGCCACCCTTGGATTGCTCTAGTCCCCAAGTACCTGGTTCATAGAAAGATCACTCCCTCCCCTCCCCCACCCAGCCCCCTGCAATGGCACTGGCAGGCTAGTCCCTTCCTGTCACCTCCCCTGAAGGAGCCAGAGTCGAGGTGTCCTCTCTGCCCCATCCTAGATCTAGAGTCCGGTGACTCCAGTGCCAACCAGTACAGGGACAGAGGTGAGTCTCTCCCAGCTCCGGCTGCTGTGCTCACCTCCCATAGTCAGTGCTTCCGCTCCCTGAGAATCTCCAGATCTCTGGATGGGGCTGTCCCAGGGAGCAGACGCAGGGCCGCATCTCCTGGGATGTGTGGGTGCTGTCCTTTGTTCCCCCACAGCCGCACGGCTGCAGACACTGCCATGCCATGCAGGTGGACCCTGGCCCGCTGGCCCTGCTGGTCTGCCCTCTTGGTGTCATGGACCGAGGGAAAGGCCGGTGGTAGATCCGTGGCAATCCTCTCTGCTGGACAGCCGCCTCCCCCAGACCCTCAGAAGCACCAAGCTCTGGCTCCCCACAGGTGACTCTGTGTCACCTGCCTACAAAAGCGTCCCCCCTTTCTCTTCCCCATCCTCCCACGAGTAGCAGGTGGATCTCCATTTATTCTCTGGTCCTGTTGGAAAAACTAACCCTCATTCCCAGCACTGGTCCTGACCCAGGACTCCTGCTCCATGTTTTTATAAAACCCATTATTTTCTTTCACCACATTGTCCCAGCTATAATTGTGTGGTAATTTAAGTCATTGCCTGTTTGCCTACAGCAGCTAGCAATTTCTCACTGCAGGAATTGTCTGTTCCATCTCAGCGTGGGGCCTGGCATAAGTGTCTCTCAGTGATCTTCATAAGAGAGGAAAGTAGTGTTGGATTCGTTGACTTCTTTCTGTCCCATGTGTGAAAAGGAGTCGGGTTTGGATATTATTCAAATCTTTTTGATATCTTGAGAGTATTTTTATTTTCGAAGAATGAAATACTTTATCTGAAACTATTTACTTTTTTTCTTTCTACCAGTATTGAGGCTTGAACTCAGGGCCTGGGCACTGTCCCTTAGCTTTATTTGCTCAAGGTTTGTCACTTTACCCCTTATGCCACACTTCTACTTAGGGTATTTTGCTGGTTCATTGGAGATAAGAGTGTCATGAACTCTTCTTCTGCACCTGCTGGCTTTGAACTGAAATCCTCAGATCTCCACCTCCTGAGTAGCTAGAATTACAGGTGTGAGCCATTGGTTCCCCAACTAGTTATATTAAATTCCTATTGCTAAAACACCAAATAAAATACAGTTGCATTAGGATAATAGCATAGAATGTAATTTCTTTTTTCCAATAAAAATGCACTTTATTGCATCAAATTCGTTCAGCGAATATTTACTAAGTACCTGCAGAAAACATGACCCTCCTATCTTCAAGGTGTTTTCCTTGGCACCGATTATAATCTAGCTGCTCATTTTTTCTTTCCTTCCTCTTGCATAATTGCCTTGTTTTTCTCTGCCTGCTGGCCTGCCTTTCTTCCTTCTATCCTTCCTCCCTTCCTTCTTTCCTCCCTTTCTCTTCCCTTCTCCTTCCTTTCCTTCTTCCTTCCCTTTTCCCTCCCTCCCTCCTTCCTTCCCTTCTCTCTCTCTCTCTCTCTCTCTCTCTCTCACTTCCCCTCTTTTACCCTTTCCCTGTATTCCTCCTTTCTTCCCTTCCTCCCTCCTTTTCCATTCTGTGTTTTATTTCAAGGATCCGATTGATTTACTTCCAGTAACATGGATAAAGGAACAGTTTGGGGGGAGTCGCCTTGGACTTAAGGCTGAGCCCCCAACACCTATCTGGTACAACACTAGGTAACAGGCTATGTACAGGCTGTGAGGATGGTTCTGAAAGCAGAAAATGAAGACCTGTTCTACCCTGCTGTTCTCTTTGTGCATTGTTGGGGCATTGCATATCATTGACTCTCACTCAGGGACAGTTGGCTTTGAACCCTTCATTTGCTGGCCATGAGGTGGCTGTGTGGTGATGTGTGTGGGAGTAGTCCTTATCATTCTCAGGACCCCAGGGGCCTGCTGGTTGCCCTGTGTGCTGTGTGCTGTTCTTTCCTCATAGAGCTGTGGCGGAGCAGGGGGCAAGAATAATGATTCCTCTTCTCTGCCTTTACCTTCTTCAAAGTTCCAGAAGCTGCATGGAAAAAGTTTGTTAATTTCTGGTAAACTTTTTGTTCCCTAAAGCAACTGCTTTGCTCCACCTAGTGGAATAACGGGGAAAGGCAGCGTGTGACGGCTGAGTTTTACCCTGGTGTTCCTGGAGAGCTTGGCCTGGCAGCCGGCCTATTAGACTGTCAAGTGATGATACCTGTCACTATTACAGAATGCATGCAGCCCAAGGGAACTTTTAATTATTGGATGGTGTTTAAGGGGACATCTTTCGGTGTACATCTGAGAAAGTGTTTCTAGTAGCCTTAATGAAGGCTGCACATCAAATGTGGGATGATGAGAGAAGATAAATAAGCTAGGATTCTCCAGTTAGGCCCCTCTGCTCATTCCGCCCCACCCTAGCCCCTTTTTCCTTTGCGGGGTTTCTCCTGTCTCAGTCATGTAGGAAGTGATTTCCCAATCTTGAGTGTATGAGGGATTCAGGGACTCCAACCTCCACCTGAGGCTTGAACTCAAGGTCTTATAATCTTGCTTCACTTTTTCACTTAAGGCTGGCACTCTACCACTTGAGCCACAGCTTTACTTCCAGCTTTTTGATGGTTAATTGGGGATAAGAGTCTCATGGACGTTCCTGCCTATGCTGGCTTCAAACCATCAACCTCAGGTCTCATCTTCTTGAGTAGCTAGGATTAGAAGTGTAAGCTATTAGTGCCCAGCTTCACCGTGTGTGTGTGTGTGTGTGTGTGTGTGTGTGTGTGTGTGTGTGTGTGTGTGTGTGTGTACGTGTGTGTCCCTGGGGCTTGAACGTGGGGCCTGAATGCTGTCTGTTTCTGAGCTTGTTGTCCTCAAGGCCAGTACTCTACCATTTGAGTCACAGCTTCACTTCTGGCCTTTTACTGCTCAATTGGAGATAAGGGTCACATAGACTTTACTGCTTATGCTGGCTTCAAACCATGGCCTTCAGCTCTCAGCCTCCTGAGTAACTAGGATTACAGGCGTGAGCCACCATCGCTTTCATTTTTTACACCCAAATTAATAGCATTTTTAAAGCTGGAAACAACCTTAGAAGGTAGACAGTCCATTCCTTTTAATTTTTTCATATGAAGAAAAACAAGGCACTGAGAGACTAAATCATTTGCTCCCACCTGTCTATAGTATGTGTATGCTTATATGTCTGCCTGTCTGTCTTTCTGTCTTGAGGCTTTTTTGCTCAATGTACCACTTGAGTCCTAGCTCTGCTTGCAGGTTTTTTGGTGGTTAATTGGAAATAAGAATCTCATGGACTTTTTGTCTGGGCTGCTTTCAAACTGATCCTCAGCTTTCAGCCACCTGAGTAGCTAGGATTACAGGTGTGAGCTAGTGGACCCTGGGTTGTAAATTCTTACTGAAGAAGAAACCTGCAGTGAACTTGAACTCAAGGTTAGCCTGCCAAGTGCATTTGCTTCACTTGCTCCTTGTTTTGGAATTATACAAGCACCTGTGTGCATGCATGTCCCTCTGCTGAAGTGGTAGAGAACATGTCTATAGTTCTCTGATCTTAATGCTCCTTTGGAAGTTGGAAAATAACAGAGATGTGGACAAGGCTTGTCACAAAATCTGGACTAGGACTTGAACTTGGTCTCCAGGTTTCCATCCAATAATATCCCTCTTGTCTAGGAACATGTGGTGCATTAGTGTTTCTGCTACCTATGAAACCGACTAGGTGGAGTTTTTGAAACCCTGGGATTTGGTGAGGTTCTTCTTGTAGGAGCAGAGCACATTTTGAGGTCTGCTCTGTTGCCTTGGCAGAAGAGTAATACATTTCTGTTTTTCTCTCTTCCCCTAACCCTAGCATATCAATAATGACCACATTCACGGGGAGAAGAAGGAGTTTGTATGTCGCTGGCTTGATTGCTCCAGGGAGCAGAAGCCCTTCAAAGCCCAGTACATGTTGGTCGTACATATGAGAAGACACACGGGAGAGAAGCCTCACAAATGCACTGTGAGTACACGGGTTTGAGGCCCACTTCCCCACCTTCCTCATCCTGTCTGAGTTGTGTGCAGCAAAGGACAGGTGTGGTTGGGAGAAATGGAGTATTACCTGGGGATAAATGCCTGCTTTTTGAGCTGCCTGGCTGGACAGGGCAGCTAGTAGAATGTCGAGCTGGCGGAAGGCCAGTGACCTCGGGATGGAGCTCACCCTGCAGGCTAACCCCAGCCCACAGCCCATTGTGTATGGGGACTCAGAACCCCAAAGAAGTGTAAGCCTCCACCTTCAACCTTCAGTTTGACTTTTTAAAAAGCTAATCCCTGAAAAAACTGAGCATCCCTAGTGTACTGTTTTTTTTTTTTAAACAGCAATCTAATTATTCACCTAATTTTTTTAATTGTGAAAATACCATACAGAGGGGTTACAATTACATGGGCAAGATAACAAGTACATTTCTTATCAAGCATTGTTGCCTCCTCCTTTGTTTCCCCTTCCCATCCCTTCCCATATGCCCCCCTTGCCCCCCCTACCCGATCCCCCCCCACCAAAGTTATAAAGTTTGTTTTTTGACATAAGGACTTGTACATCTCATTTTTGCAATGGGTCCACTTGTATCCCTATTTAAAATACAATTTGTTTTTTTCCCTTCCCCTCCATATACTATACCAACATCAAATACAGTGAAAGCAGGGGTTATACCGTGGGGGAGGGTCACCTAACTTTTAAAGATTGTCTTTAAGTAGTTGTACAAAGGAGATTGAATTCAACAAGTCAAATTATGAGTATAATGCATCTTGAGCAATGTCACCTCTTCCCTCCCCTCCCCCATCTCCTCTAACCCCTTCCACACCTTCAAAACCCCTGGTTCCATTTTCATGCATATAAATTGAAAATTATGACTGTATTCATCCACCCTTCCTCTCTCCCATTGTCCTCCTACTACCACAAGTTCCAGCATCCTGGTATTCATTTTGTTAAACCTTAAGTTCGTTGTTTGTAGGAGTTACACCATTGCAATTTTCCCCTACGTATATATACCATACTTTAATTAAAAAAAAACACCACATCTGAAATGTTCTCAAATCTGATGCTTTCTGAGACTGACATAGGTTTAGAGTTCTTCTTGCTCCTCTCCTCAGTGCCTAGGGCAAATTGGGAGATCTGAGGAGGGAGAAATGGGCTGGGACTCCCTGAGGCTGAGCTTTCTCCCACCAGGGTATGAGGTACTGGCAAGGCCCTGGGTCAGGCCCCAGTGCTTTCCATCTTACAAGCCCTTTACAAATGTGATCATTTTCCTGGCTTTGTAGGGACACAAAGCTGAATGAATGAACTTGGCGCTGAATCTGAAATAAGTGGCAATTGGAGAAGATGAAGGAGCAGATAATGAAACCCATTGTCCACACCAGGGGGGGTAGATGTTATTTTATTTATTTAAAAAAGCCATAGAGCCTTCCAGACTTTGAAAAGCACTGAAAACACTTTTTCTTGAACTGCCTGGAGCCCCTATCCAAATCTTCATTCTTGCAAAGTGTAGCGGAGCTTTTTTGTTCTGTGGTTTTGAAAAGCTTCTGACCCTTGGAAAGTCAGGGTTTTGTCCACGTTGAGGAAGGAGGAGGGCAGGGCCTGAAGGCCTCAGCTGCAAGTTGTAATTGTGTGGCTGTAATACAGATTTATTTACCTGTTGCTCTTAGTTTGAAGGTTGCACAAAGGCCTACTCGAGACTAGAAAACTTGAAAACACACTTGAGATCTCACACTGGAGAGAAACCGTATGTCTGCGAACACGAAGGCTGCAATAAAGCTTTCTCCAATGCCTCTGACCGAGCCAAGCACCAGAACAGAACACATTCCAATGAGGTAAGCCATCTCCGTGGGCCCAGAGCAAATGGGCCAAAGCCTTCATGGGAGTTTGGGACCACAGGCCTGTTCTGTTTGCTTTTCTCTTGGCTGTTTCCAGCCTCAATGGGCTCTCAGGCGGCTACCTCAAAAATAAGGCTGAAAACCGAGCCCCATTAAGATAAATCAGATGAAAAGGGAATTTCAGAAACTCCTGGTGAACTTAGTTTCCCATTGCTTGATACTGCCACCTAGTGGTCAGACAGTAGGAATGCTTGGATTTTGGTCACTTGCTCTGTCCAGATTAATAGGAATCACTGCAAACAAATGATGAGCCTCTGAGCTCATCAGTTCAGAAACGACATCATCACAGGCGAACATACACTGCTAAAGTAACACTATCTTTATGTGCTGATACTTGGACTTGAACTTAGGATCTTGTGCTTTTACTTAGCTTTCCCAGTTAGGATGGGGCTCCACCATTTGAGCCACACACAACTCCACTTCTGGTCTTTTTTGCTGGTTAATTGGAGATAAGAGTCTCACAGACTTTCATGCTTGCACTGGCTTTGAACTGAAGTCTTCAGATCTCAGCCTCCTGAGCTGATAGGTGTGAGTCACTGGTATCCAGCTTATACAGAGCACTTTTTACTGCTTTCTCTACATGATATTTTCAAATACACTGTATTTAAGAGCACACTTTTGCAGAACAACCAGCAGTGGTTTAACAAATAAGAGGGCAGACATTCTAAATGCTGATAGCTTCTATCAGCATGGAAGTGATTCTCAGAAGCCCAGTGACTTCAGGTAAAATATAGTGGGTAGTGGATGGTTTGTATGGTATGGCTGATATTTTCATTTGGCTTCTCTCTCTCCAGCTTGTGGAAGTCAAGAATGACAGTGATTCCAGATCCATATTGCTTAAGTATTGTTGTGCTTTTCTGTCTGTAGACCTCCAGCATCTCTATGGAGATGTAGCTAAAATGCTAGCTCCTCTGTCAACCTCTTGACTGAAGGGAGAAATGTGGGACTCAGGCTCCCTGCCTTTGGGTCACTAGTTAGAATCTTTTGGCATAACACATAGTCCAACCCCAGGAAGAGTATCATCATTTTGCTTGCAATGCTTTAGGCAAGGAGTGGTTTGTACACAGACCTGGGTGTGGCTCTTATGATCTCAGTCCATCATGAGCTTGCAGATTTTCGGGGGTTGAGGGGGGAGAGAGCATCTGGAAGAAACCAAACAAGCCATGCTCCCCAGGGAGCATCTGGCTTCAAGAGCTTTGCTAAATTTTCTTCTTGCTCAACTGTTAGGGCAAAAACCACTTCTAGCTGAGCGCCTGGGGCTCACGCTTATAATCCCAGCTACTCAAGAGAAAGATCTGTCTGAGACTCACAGTACAAGGCCAGTCCAGGCAAAAACAATAGCAACAAAAAAGTCTGAGACTTATTAACAAAAATAGCAGAAGTGGAGGTGTGGCTCGAGTGGTAAAGCACCATCCTTGAACAAAAAAATTTTAAAATCTCCAAAAATCCTAAGGAATAGTGTCTAGACCATGAGTGTTCAAGTTTGGGTACAGGCACCACAAAAAAACAACAACAAAAACACTTTCAACAGGATTAACCACACTTCCCAAAAAGCTCCTGCATACCACATGCAGCAGCTCCTCTTTGAAAAGGTTATGTTGGATTACGGAAGGACGTGTCCTGTATTGCTTAATATTGACCAGCTGTATGAAAACACTTTAGACAAGAGGATGCATTCCGATTTTGTTATGTGTTCTTCAAAAATGAATGTGCAATAGCTGTTACACTCGTTTTGTACAAAATACTAAGTTGTCATAAAGAAAACAAATCTATAGAGACAGAAGGCTTACTAGCCTTTGCTAGCATCTGGAAGCAGATAGAACAGGGTGATTGCTGATGGAGATTGTGACAATGTGCAGGCATTGAAAAAGAACAGGAATGATTGCACAGCTTTGAGGAAGCAATGAGCTGGACACTGGTAGCTCACACCTGTAATCTTAGCTGCACAAGGAACTGAGAGTTGAGGCTTGTGGTTTGAAGCTAGCCCTGGCAGAAAAGTCCTTGAGACTCTGATCTCCAATTAACCACCAAAAAGTGGAAGTGGAGCTGTGGTTCAAGTGGTAGAGTGCCAGCCTTGAGTGGAAAAAGCAAAACTAAAGGACAAAGCCCAGGTTTCAAGCTCAAGCCCTAGGATCGACACCAGCCTCACAGAAAAGAAAACCAGCATGTGGCCACATGGCCCTGCTTGGGGTCCCTCTCTCTCCCCATTCCATCTAAGGCCCTGAGCAAGCACAGAGCCAGAGTCAGAACACTGAAAGGTAATGACAGTAACTGCTAGCCATTCTTCAGTCCCTAATGCCTAGGATTTGGCCCTCATTTCCTGGCATATGGATCTGTACATATATAGTGAATGACACTCACTCCTGAGTGGCCATAATTTGGAGTTAATGGGAATCAATTCTTCTACAAAGGAATCTCAAGTTTGGAGGAGAAGTCTCTTCAGGATAATTTTCACCGCCTTGGCTTTTCTGCATTAGGATATTTCAATGTGCCAGATTGTGCACAGAGCCAAAGTCAGAACACTGAAAGCAGTTTTTAGACATAGATTCCATTGGATGTAATGGATGCATTACGGCGATTGCTTCCCTGAGAACTAGCTGGTCTTTAGCACATGCGAGCATCATGTGGCATGCTCATGGGGCTGTTTCCAGGGCCCCCAGGTACACCCAAATCCAAGCTTGCTCAGGTCCCTTATTTAAAACAGTGTAATAGTTAATACAGCCTTCTACGCCCTTTAAATACCTTATAATACCCATCACCTCACCAGAATCGCATAGTGCAGTCTGATTCGTTTTTAATACTTTGCATCTACCGTCGGTTCCTCAGATAGAGAGGGCCAGTTTCTCTCATGCAAGCACCCAGGAAGGCTTTGTTTGAGGACAACATCATTAATGTGGATGATAAGTCATTATGCAGGCCAGTAGTTCCGTGTCTCAGCTGCATGGTTAGCTGCGCACAGGGTGGGTGCAGGTAGAAGACAATCAGGAAGTCCTGAGTGGATCCGACAAGACAAGGCGGCTGAGGGCAGAGTCCTGGCTCCAGCCCGCCACCGCCCCCACAGCCGAGCCTAGGGCTTCACGGCTTTGAAGACTAGAGATGGGCTGGATATTTCCCAAACCCTGAGCATTTCCCTCACTCAGCTGTGGCAGACACCCAGAGAAGCGCATTTTGAGTGGTCCTGGAAAAGGCTAGAAGCCATTTTCAGCCATTGATTATACCTATGTGTGCATAGCACATTTCTCAAAGCAAAGAACCGGGAGACACCTGTAAGAAATCTCTTCTGATGATCTCCCCTGTGAGGTGTGGGGCATTCTCCTGATTAGGTGATGGGGGTCTTTTTAAGACATGCTCCTTCATCCCCACCACCACAGTCATCAATACCATCATCACCACCACCTTCATCACCATCACCGTAATCACTACTTACATTCCCCCCCCCCCCCACCATCACCACCACTACATCCGAAAGGTGTTTGTATGTTGTACAAGTGCTTTAAAATGATTTAAACTGTAAATGAGCTGGCACTCGTGTCTCAGGCCTGTCATCCTAGCTACTCAGGAGCCTGAGATCTGAGGAGTATGGTTCAAAACCAGCCATAGCAGGGAAGTCTGTGAAACATTTATCTCCAATTGACCAGTAAAAAAAAAAAAAGCTGGAAGTGGAGTTTTGGCCCAAGTGGTAGAGCACTAGCCTTGAGCCCAAAAGTCAGGTGAGAGCAAAAGGCCCTTTGTTGGAGCCCTGAGCTCAAATACTGGTACATGCACACATACACACAATTAAAATGTAATAAGAAACCACAGAAAACCATGAGGCTGGGACACAACACTTTCATAACCCTCTTTTGTGTCATTTTTCTGGCATTTGGCAGAAACCGTACGTGTGCAAAATCCCAGGATGTACGAAGCGCTACACAGACCCCAGCTCCCTCCGCAAACATGTGAAGACGGTGCATGGCCCTGAGGCTCATGTCACCAAGAAGCAGCGTGGGGACATGCACCCCCGGCCCCCACCCCCCAGAGACCCCGGCAGCCACTCCCAGGCCAGGTCCCCCGGCCGGCCTGCCCCCGGGGCCCTGGGGGAGCAGACGGAGCTGGGCATCGCTACCTCAAAGCGGGAAGAGGGTCTCCAGGTGAAGACTGTCAAAGCTGAGAAGCCCATGGTATGTCATTCCCTCTCCTGGTTTTTCCAGAATCATGTGGGGGTCATTGGAAAGGGCCGGGCGAGTCATGGAGGGGTGAAGGGGCAAGACAGTGAGCTTGAGCCCACGGATGGGAGACTGCAGTGCTGCATGAAGTCTGACCCCCAGCTTGGCTGAGACGTCTGTTCTGCTTGGAGCAATCCTGATCAGGAAAGAAGGAAACTAGAAGTTTCCTAACTGCTTGTAAAAACTGACCCTGGATCACAAGAAAGATGTGATGGTCTCTCTTCAGAGTGCCACTGGGTTGAAAAATCATGCATCAAGTCTTTCTATAAACATACCTTTTCCTGTCTTCTTTGTTTGTGGGGCTTGAACTCAGGTCCTAGGTGGTGTCCTGAGCCTTTTTGCTTACTGCTAGTACTCTACCACTTTGAGCCACAGCGCCACTTCTAGGTGGTTTTTGTTTTTGTTTTTGTTTTTATTCTTGTGGTGGTTAATGGGAGATAAGAGGCTCACAGACTTTCCTGCCCAGGCTGGCTTTGAACTGCAGTCCTCAGATCTCAGCCTGCTGAATAATTAGGATGACAGGTATGAGCCATTGACACCTGGTCTGAAAACTTCTTACAAATAAACATTGTTAGGGTTTGGTGACATTCAGCATTTTATGGCCAACATTATTCTTTGAATGGCTTCAGGTGATTTGAAAGTATTCTTGCAAACTTTATTGGGTAATTTTGCTTCATAAAACACCTAAAGATCAACAAGAAAAAAACAAGAGAACAGATAGTAGTAGATTCAATCATATATATTTGGTATATATATAAGTATATATATAGATACTAGTAGATTCAATTATATATATATATATATATATATATATATATATACACTAGTATATATATATATAGATACTAGTAGATTCAATCATATATATTTGATATATATAAAATGGATGTGTGTGTATGTATGTATGTGTGTTTGTACATGTGCACTGGTACCAGGGCTTGAACTCAGACACTTCAGCTCTTGTTTGGCTTTCTTACACCTAGCAGGTGCTCTACCATGAGAGTCGCACACCTCCAGTCTAGCATTTTATGATTATTCAGAGATGAAGTCCTATGGAGTTTTCCAGCCTGACTAGTCTAGAACCAAGATCCTCTCAGTCTCAGCCTTCTGATAACAAGGATTATAGGCGTGAGCTACTGGCACTCAGCCTGTATAATGGATTGAACTTTGCATGCATTCCTTTTCTTTCCTGGTCCTGGGGCTTTAACTCAGGGCCTGGGTGCTATCCCTAAGCCTCTTTGTGCTCAAGGCTGGTGCTCAGTACTTCCAGTTATTCTGAATAGTTTATTGGTGATAAGGAATCTCACAGATGTTCCTGCCTGGGCTGACTCTGAACCACAATCCTCAGCTCCTGAGTAGCTAGGATTATAGGCATGAGCCACTAGTGCCCAGCTGTAGAGCTTCTTGTTCCTGTAGCATGCACCTGCAGCTCAAGAAAACTTGTCCTGTTCTTTCCAAGCACCCAGTGCTTCTAAAGAAATTCAGTAGAGGGCTGGGAATGTGGCTTAGTGGTAGAGTGCTTGCCTAGCATGCATGAAGCCCTGGGTTCGATTCCTCAGTACCACAAAAACAGAAAAACTGGAAGTGGCACTATGGCTCAATGGTAGCATGCTAGCCTTGAGCAAAAGAAGCTCAGGGACAATGCTCAGGCCTGAGTTCAAACCCTAGGACTAGCAAAAAAAAGAAACCAAAAAGATTCAGTAAAAATAAAAATCTATAGCTGTCTGCCTCCGTGTATAAAATATTTTACAAAGCAAATCATACAAACACAGGACTAGAAGAGATCCCAGAGGAAAATAACGGCAGCATGGTCCCTCAGTAGACTCATGGGCACACGTGTGTGTGTGTGTGTGTGTGTGTGTGTGTGTGTGTGTGTGCGCGCGTGCGTGCGTGCATGCATATGCGCAATGTACACACATGTAAAATAAATAGATACCTTCATGGGCATTTACTAATAATCATGGGATTTGCATTTCTTTTACCCTTAATTTGGTCATCCTGCTATAAATTAAATTCTTTCTTCTTCTTTTTTTCTTATGATTGCAACATCTCCCCGTCTAATGCTCCCTCCGTGTCCTGTTCTTACTTTCCAAGGACAGTGGGTAATAAGGTGAGGGGGTTTTGACGCACTTCTCTCTCTCTCTCTCTCTCTCTCTCTCTCTCTCTCTCTCTCTTTCTCTCTCATTTTCTTTGTATTTTCACATCCAGCTTTCTTGTCATATCACATCTTCCTTAGTCTATGTGGGTCTGTGCTGTTGTCTTTGGTAGTGAATGTAAGTTGGCTGTGTTCGAGGAAGCACATGTTGAATCCCAGCATGTAGAAAAAGTAGCGTTAGGCCAAGGGTGAAATCCATTGTTGTGCTTGTCAAGATTTTCAGGATAAACCAGACTGGGCTGGGTCAAGCAGATGCCTTTGGGTTTCCTCCCATGGCTCATGTCACTGCATTCTCAGACCACACAAGCATCTCCTTGTTTATGGGAAGGGAGATAACATTTGTGGTTTAAGTGGTTTAACCCCCTTTTAAATATCTTTAGTGCTTGGCAGCGATTTTCTGATTTTAAATGCCCATGTCCTCCTTTAAAGTTCTATAGAACTGTACATTTGCCTACATGTGTGTTGTTTACCCAGATTCACCCCCACCCCCCACCCACACATACACACACATTCTAATTTGCCCATGCAAGAGTGTAAGATGCCCTAAATTCTGCAAAGTCTAGAAGCAGCTGGTGGCCTGGCAAATCCTGGCACAGACTTAAGCCCAGCTCCCCACGCTTGCCTTTCTGCATAGTTTCCTTTGCTTTGATTGGTTTCCCTGATGACATTCGTGTAACTGGTAGCTCATTCATTGGACGCCTGTGCTGTGATCACAGATAAAGCACGATTCCTTCCTCAAAGAGGTTGAGCCTGTGCTTCCCCTGGGCTGAGGAGGTGTGGTTCTCTACCCTGGAAACAGGCAACTTTAGATTCCCATCCGTGTTATATATATATATTTATATTCCCAGTTTTTATAGGAAAGCTGGTCCACCCTCCAGTAGCCTCAGGGATCAAAGCTGGCTCAACTGTGAACTCACATCTTTGGGAAGTCACTGAACTTCCCTGAGAATCAGCTCTTTTCATCCTTAGGAAGGGGATTCAACTGTTCACCTCCCAGGACAGCACTGGTACTTGAGATGGCATAAAGCCTCTCTGCCAGCTCATGCCAGACCTGCTTGGACAGTGCTCACAGACACCAGGGTGGCAAGGCTTCCCTTCCTCTTCCCTTCCAGGCCCTCCCCTGCTGGAGATCCAGAGGCCTGGATTCAGCCTCCTCTTGCCAGGTTTTCTCACGCAGTCCCCTTGACTGGTGTGGTTAGCACTCTATATCCTACAGCGCCCCAATCAGCGCTCTTCCGTAATAGGAGGAAGATACAGAGAAAGGAGTTGTTACCCAAAAGGCTTAGAGGGGCCTTGTCTGTCCCAGATTTACGTTCTAGCTGAACAAAATAAGCCCCGAAGACTAAATCACCCCATGACTAATGCCTTAGGAGATGAGTCTACTCTGGTCTTATTACACTCAGGTGCCCTCCGGGCCTTTCATTTTCCCAACAAGATTCCTTAACATGAGTTGCTCCCAATGTTACGGATAAGGAAACAAGGCTGTGGTTGGCTAAATGATTTCCCCAAAGGAGAAGGCCTTGGCAGTGGGGTTGGAAAGGAGGCATGTATGGGCAGAGCCAGCCTCGAGATCTCATGCTGACGACCCCTTGGGTAACATGTGCTGCCGTCTGTTGCCTCCCCCACAACACCATCAGCCTGGTGGTCCATCGTCATTTTGGCATCAGAGCCCACCCGCATCCTCTTTCTCATTCAACTCACTGGTGACCCGAAGGTCTCCATGTTCCCCAGCTGCCTTCGTGGTCGGCTCCCTTTCCTTTTTCTCTTTCTAGTAACATTCCTTTTCCTCTGGGTCCCTCCCCAACAGACATCTCAGCCAAGCCCTGGTGGTCAGTCTTCATGCAGCAGCCAGCAGTCCCCCGTCTGCAACTATCCCCTCAGTGGGCTCGAGCTTCCTCTGACCGACGGAGGCGGTGTAGCTGACCTCAGTAACCTGGACGAACCCCCGATCATGGACGCCACCATTACCACGGCCACCACTGCCCTGGCGTTGCAAGCCAGGAGAAACCCAGCAGGGACCAAATGGATGGAGCACGTAAAACTAGAAAGGCTGAAGCAAGTGAATGGAATGCTTCCACGACTGAACCCCGTCCCGCCGCCCAGAGGCCCTGCGGTCTCTCCTCTCACAGGAAATGGTGAGTTCACATCATACACCCTGCACTGCCCCCCATGTGACTGTCCAGTTGGCTCTCTGCTCTTGTCAGTGGGCCCTGGATGGGAGGCTGTCAGTGATAGGGGCCGGGATCTTCTGGTGTGGCTTTGCTCAGTCTGAAGATTAGGTCTGAAGCCACTCGTAGTAATGCTGAGCCTGGATGAATTGCTTTTCTGGGGCTCATGTTTCCAAAAGAATGCGATAATGGGATTGTACTATAACTGAAGTTAGCCTGTGGGTGGTTCATTCTGATGGAGAAGTCCTAAGTCTAGGGGAGCACCAGCCCCTGGGTTCTAGAAATCTAAAGTCAAGAGCTTAGTGGCCACTTGGAGGGAGAGGGGTACTGCTCTTTTATTTTATTTATTTATTTATTTTTGGTCCGGTTGTGGGGCCTGAACTCTGGGCCTGGACACTGTCCCTCAGCTCTTCAGCTCAAGGCTAGCGCTCTACCACTTGAGCCACAGTGCCACTTCTGGCTTTTTTCTTTTTGCTTATGTGGTGCTGAGGAATCGAACCCAGGGCCTCGAGCATGCAAGGCAAACGCTCTACCACTGAGCCACCTTCCCAGCCCCTCTTTTTTATTTTTTTAAGGGAGTTGGGGCAGTATTTGGGTTTGAACTTAGGCCTTGTACCTGCTAAGCTGGTACGGTTCCACTAAGCCACCCCTCCCCCAGCCACCCCCTATTTTTCCCATGGGCCCTATTTTGAGATTGGGTTTTGCTTCCTCCAGGGGGCCCTCCTGGACTGTGGTCCTAATGTTTTGCGGCCTGCCGTAGCTGGGGTGACAGGTGCACACCTAACTTCTTGCATCGAGATGGAGTCTCATGGACTTTTTTTTTTACCCAGGCTGCCACGGAATCTTAATCTTCTCAATCTCAGCCTCCCCATGTAGCTAGGATGGCAGGCACATGTCAGCATACCCAGCGCTTAGCTGAGAAGACTCTCCTGTATGCCTGGGCTTGCCTTGGGGTGCAGTCCTCCTGATTCTCAGCCTTGGGGTCGTTCAGGTGACAGGAATGAGTCACTGGTTCCTGATAGCAGCCACTTCTTTTTTTTTTTTTGTCAGCTGTGGGGCTTGAACTCTGGGCTTGGGCACTGTCCCTGTGCTCTTCAGCTCAAGGCGAGCGCTCTACCGCTTGAGCCACAGCACCACTTCCGGTTTTCTAGCGATTTATTGGAGATTAGAGTCTCTCAGACTTTTCTGCCCGGGCTGGCTTTGAACCGTGATCCTCAGATCTCAGCCTCCTGAGTAGCTAGGATCACAGGCGTGAGCAACCAGCGCCCAGCGCCACTTCTTTTTATGTGTACCCAGTCCACAGGACAGCATTTCCCATGGTGAGCCCCAAGTCAAGTCAGGGCTTGCTTCAGAGCCAGCATGGAGCACCTGCAGCACAACTCTCCTCTCCAGCAGCTAAGGATGCAAAATGAACCCTAGCATAGAATGGAACATCCCCTGGACAGTAAAGCCTTGGGCTTGGCCTCTTCCTTCCTTCCTTCTTCCTTCCTTCCTTCCTTCCTTCTTTCCTTCCTTTCTCTCTCTTTTTCTCTCACTCTCTCCCCTCTTTCTTTTCTTTCCTTCCTTCCCTTCCTCCCATCCTTTCTGTCTCTTTTTTCTCATTCTCTTTCTCTCCCACTCTTCCCCCCCTCCCCCCCATTCCTGCCTTCCTTTCTTTTTGTACTTTAATGGAACTTCAGCTTGGACTCAGGAGCTCATGTTCTTACTCGACTTTTCCTACTCAAGGCTGGTGCTCTACCACTTAAACCACTAGCTTTTTGCTAGTTAATTGAAGAAAAGAATTTCACAGATTAGTCTGCCCAGGCTAGTTTCAAACCAGGATCCTCAGATCTCAGCCTCCCCAGTGGCTAGGATTACAGGTGTGAGCCACTAGTGTCTGGCTTGGCTTTGTTTGAATTGGAGCCTGGGATCCATCTGTAGCCTTCTCCCTGAATGTGTGTGTATGTGCCAGTCCTGGGATTTGAACTGAGGGTCTGAGTGCTCAAGGCCAGTGTTCTACCCCTTGAGCCACAGCTCCACTCTTGGCTTTTTGGGTGGTTAATTGGAGGTAAGAGTCTCACAGACTTTCCTACCTGGGCTGGCTTTGAACTTCCATCCTCAGATCTCAGCCTACTAAGTAGCTAGAATTACAGGTGTGAGCCACTGGCACCCAACTGCCCTTTGCTAGGGACCTGGAGATGGGGGGCAGGGGGGGGGGATTTTTGTCTAAGGCTGTGTGGACAAAGTTAGTGTGAGACCTGCTTGGAAAAAACAAAATAAAAACCTGAACGAATTGAGGGTGTGGCTCGAGTGTTAGAGCGCTTGCTTGGCAGATAGGAAACCGGGGTCCACTCCCCAGTTGTATATACATACACACCTGTGTGCACACACGCCCAGCCTCCCCGCTGCCGCGCGCGGGCGCGTGTGCATACTGGTGCTGGAATGCAGAGTCCGCTCATTGCACCAGAGGTCCCCGAGGTCCAGGGAGCCCCTGTTTGGCCCGGATGGTTCCCACCCTGGCGTCGGGCATCGTCTGGTCACACCCTTTGTCTCCCTCCCGCAGGCACACAGTCCAGTACCACCTGCACTTCGGGCGGGCCGGTGACTCTGCTCCCGGCCCGGAGCGACCTCTCCGGGGTGGACCTCACCATGCTGAGCCTGGTCAGCAGGAGGGACAGCAGTGCCAGCACGGTCAGCTCGGCCTACCTGAGCAGCCGCCGCTCCTCGGGCATCTCCCCCTGCTTCTCCAGCCGCCGCTCCAGCGAGGCGTCCCAGGCCGAGGCCCGGCCCCAGAACGTCAGCGTGGCCGATTCCTACGACCCCATTTCCACCGATGCCTCGCGGAGGTCCAGCGAGGCCAGCCAGGGCGACGGGCTGCCCAGCCTGCTCAGCCTCACCCCGGCGCAGCAGTACCGTCTCAAGGCCAAGTACGCGGCGGCCACGGGCGGCCCGCCGCCCACGCCCCTGCCGCACATGGAGCGGCTGAGCCTGAAGACCAGGCTGGCCCTGCTCGGGGACGGCCGGGAGCCGGCCGCGGCCCTACCCCCGGTGCCGCCTCCCCGCCGGTGCAGCGACGGAGGGGGCCACGGGTACGGCCGCCGCCTGCTCCTCCCGGACGGGCTGGGCAATGGCGTCCGGAGGGCCAGCGACCCGGTGCGGACCGGCTCGGAGGGCCTGGCTCTGCCGCGCGCCGCCGCCGCCGTGCCGCGCGTCGGCAGCCTGCACGGCCTGGGCGCTCCGCCTCCCCTGGGCGGCCTCCACCCGGCCCCCGCCGGGGACAAGCGCACGCTGGTGCTGCAGAATTACACGCGCCCCGAGGGCGGCCCGCCGCGCCACTTCCCCGCGTCCCCCTGCCCGCCCAGCATCTCCGAGAACGTCGCCCTGGAGTCCCTGGCCGTGGGCGCCGACGGCGATCTGCACGAGGAGGATTTCCTGCCCGACGACGTGGTGCAGTATCTCAACGCCCAGAACCAAGCCGGCTGCGGCCAGCACTTCCCGGGCGCGGCCCCCGACGACAGCAAAGCGCCCCAGGGGCCTGGCGACTTCGACCTGCCCGGGCTGCCCGACAGCCACCCGAGCCAGCAGTTCCGGCCCCTGGAGCAGCACTGCGGCGGCGGCGAAGGCCGCAAGTCAGACTTGCCGATCCAGTGGAACGAGGTCAGCTCGGGGAGCGCCGACCTGTCCTCCTCCAAGCCCAAGGGCGGCCCGAGGCCAGCAGGGACGCAGGCCCGGGCCCTGGGCGCCTACGGCGGCATGGTGCTCCAAGCGCAGGGCCCGTGGAGGGCCGGGGGCTGTCCAGGCCTCGGGGAAAGCGGCGGTGCCTACGCGGGCCCCGAGCCCCTGGCCATCCACGGTGACCTGGGAGCCGGCCCGGGCGGCAGCGCCCTCCTCGACCAGCCGTACAAGGCCCCGCGCTACGGGAGCTGCCTGGCTGGGCAGCCAGCGACCCCGGGAGCCCCGGACGGTGCACCCTGCGGTGCTCAGATTCAAGGGTCCAAGCTGAAAGGTACCACCGCCATGCCAGGAAATGGGGTTCCTCTGGATTTGGGCCTGATAATGGCAGCCAATGAGACAGCCGTCGGCACAGAGATTAACCTGCAGACCCCAGATCCGAGGGGCCAAGGCTACCCCGCTCATCCGCTCCTGGGCGACAGCCTGCATCGCCAGGGAGCAGGCCGGCCCGGCCCGCAGAGGCCCGCGCCACCCGGTGCTACCTCATACACCAGTGTCTACCCGGGACCCGGGAGCAGCCTGCAGGGGACTCTGAGCATTGGCAGCCACCCCACAAGCTCCACGGCCGTCAGGGGCTACCCACAGCCGTGTGCCAGCTACGGGGGCAGCAGGCGTCAGGCTGTGCCCAGGGGTGGCCTGGCCCTGCAGCAGGGACAGCTGAGTGAGACGAGTCAGATCTGCAGGGTGAATGGCATCAAGATGGAGACACACGGGCCACCCCAACCACTGTGTTCTAACACGCAGAATTACTCTGGTCAGTTTTATGACCAAACCTTGGGCTTCGGTCAGCAAGACACAAAAGCTGATTCATTCTCCATGGCAGAGGCCAACTGCCTGCTCCAGGGAGCCCACATGGAAAACTCGGAGTTACTCTCACCAGGTGCTAACCAGGTGACCAGCACGGTTGATGGCCTGGACAGCCACGACCTGGAAGGGGTGCAGATTGATTTCCATGCCATCATTGATGACGGGGACCATGCCAGCCTGATGTCAGGGGCCCTGAGCCCAAGTATTATGCAGAACCTTTCCCATAGCTCCTCACGACTCACCACGCCACAAGCCCCCCTCCCCTTCCCAGCCCTGTCTCTGAGCACAACCAACATGGCAATCGGGGACATGAATTCCCTGCTCACCTCCCTGGCAGAAGAAACCAAATTCCTTGCTGCAATGCAATAGGCATTTGTCAAGAAAGACTGCAGACATAGGATTATAGGAGTTGAACGATGGAACTGACTCCTGGATTTCTCTCCCCACCCCCCCCCCCCCCTCCATGTTTTGTTTTGAAGTTCTTGTATGTATTTTAGCAACCTCATCTCTTCTAACTGGGATGTGTTTCAAGTATATTCCTTTTATAGAAAAGGACTCTGAAAAACCCTAAGGTATCCTAGGGAGAAACTGTCTTCCATTTCAGTTTTGAATCAGTATTGTGACATTCAAACCAACCTTTAAAAAAAAAATCCTGTATGCTCACCCTCCTTTTTTCCTTTTTTTTCCCCCTTTAGTAAACCAGTGTAAATGTATGATGTGCATGTTCTTTCTTTTAAGAAGAGAGGTTACCAGATAAATAGATGTGTGTGCTTCTTGTTACTTCAAGGAAATGGAAGTTAGTGTGTCTGTGACTAAGGAAGCCATGTCAGCTTTTCTTATTTTCTTTTTCCTTTTACTTATGCTCAGCATTTTGAGGGGGGAGGGGCTTGCATTTTGTTGTTGTTGTTTTGTACGTATGTATGCTTTTCTTTCGTCCCCACATTGGGCACAGAAATCAGAATAGGAAAAGAGACTTGAAGAATCTTTTGTGGGTGCATCCTAGCATAGTAGATGGTTGATAGGTTCTCCAATTCAATCCAGGCTGTTTACCTGACAGCTGGCCCAGGAGTGGAAACCTGGGGCTCTAGTGAGTGAAAACGTGGGTTGTACAATTCTTTGTATCCATTATGTGCTTTGGGTCCCCTGTCTGTGTGGTCAGGTCTCAGTGACTTTCTTTGTCTTCTTCTCTCTCTACCTTCCAGAGTGTTTGGGGTTTAGTGCTGATTGACAGGAGGGGATGGACAGTGGGTGACATTCAGACATGATACTACTTCTGTCTGTTAGATAGATGATAGATTGAAAGTATGAAATTAATTTAGGGAATACTTGTAGGTTTTTTAATTTGTGACTTAGTTTCATCTCTTCTCTAATTATCACAGATAACTGAGAATTGATGATAAATAGCCCTTAGGTATATCAGTATTTAAACAGCCCCGCACCTGGATATATTTTTTAACATTTATTTAGCCCACTGCAGTAAAGTGATATTGCCTGCCTGCCTTTTTCTTCCCTCCCTCCCTCCCTCCCTTCCTCCCTCCCTCCCTCCCACCCTTCCTTCCTTCCTTCTTCTCTTGTGCCAGTACTGGGGCTTGATCTCAGGGTGTGGGCAATGTCCCTTAGCTTTTGTGCTTAAGGCTGGCACTTTACCACTTGAGCCACAGCTCTACTTTCAGCTCTTCGGTGGTTAATGAGGGATAAGAATCTCACAGGCTGGTTTCAAACTGCAGTCCTTATAGCTCAGCTTCTGGAGTAGCTAAGACTACAGGCATGAACCAACAGTGCCCAGCAATTGTTACTATTAAGCACCCTATTTTAAGTGATTTGCCAATCCTCATTGCAGAAGATAAAAGCTCATGTACACTGATTGAATTTGGGGCTAATTTTCTGAGGTCGAGAGAGAGAAAGGAAGCAGTTGTATGGATGTCTTTCTTCATGCTCTTTTTCTATAGCATGCTATACCCTGAACTTTAAGAAGTTAAGTGACAGAGTTAGTTCCTACATAGACTACCATCTCTACTTTTGGTTTGGATTCAGACACACAGTTGCTTCATGTGAAAGTCATATTTGGGCAGAAAGAGCCCAGGAGTTCTCCAGAATATTGCTTTTTAAAAGTACTTAAACTATTAAAATAAAATATTACCACCTCAAACTACCTGCTATTTTCCATCCCTGTCAGCCTCTGGAAGTCAGATTTATAGCCAAAGTGATTTGTGAATCCATTGAGTGGATTTTCCCCCCTTCTTGACATTTTAAATTAGCAAGAGACCAAAATCAAGTAAAATAAATAGATAATAGGAAGAATGTTAGGACCATTCTATGTCACTCATGTTTATTTTCTCTCCTTTGGACTGGAAATTTCGTCAAGGAGTTTAATTATCATATTAGTCTTAAATGTGAAGATGGCTGGGGTTTGTTTTGGTGAGATGGACCCAGAGCTGCAGAATAGTACTACAGATTCCCCTCCATGCCGCTGTCCCTCCTTTAAAATCAAATGATGGAACAACTCACATGCAAAAGAGGACTAACTATACCTCCAAGCTCAGGACAATAGACTATCTATCACTTTTCTCCATTGCTCAAACAGTTGGCCAAATCACTGGTCTATTCCCTGAACTTTTTCCCTTCTGAGTGAATCCCACAATCCTTGGTTCTAGTCTTTTCATTTTGGTCTGAGACTAGGACTCAAACTTGGTACCTGATACTTTTCATCCTTGGCTAGCACTCGACCAACTGAGCCATGCCTTCTTAGGGTTTTTTTTTTCTTTTTCTTATTTTTGTACTAGTCTTATATTTCCCACTCCTACAATTCCATTCAGTCTTTCTTACTCTTGATTACAGAATGCGAGGCCCAGTTGTTCTGTTTTTCTGGGAGTGGTCCCAGCCCCTCCAGATTCCTACACTACCAGCAGAACCGTAGGATAGTTGCTTCCCATGTCTACAGGAGCCAACATGGCGGTCATCTTTTGTTCTGCTTGTAACTCTGGCTTCCGATTAGTCTCTAGTTTTTGTTTCCTTCTTTAATTGTTTTCTTTTCCATCTGTGGATTCCTGGATGCTAGAGTATCGTATTTGCAGGATGTGTTTTTCATCTTTGATTTAGGCTTTTCTCAGTATGTAAATTCCAAAAGGATGGAGTGGAGGGAAGTGAAGGAGGGAGGGAGATTGTGTACTTTTCCAGAATTTCAGTGATTTGGCAAGATTGTCCTATGGAAAGATGCTCTTTCTGTCATTTCACAGATGGGACTTGGGGTCTGGTCCCCTCTGGCCCTAGGACCTGCCCGCCCACCCACCACCTCAAACCTTGTTTCCTTTCTCTGATTATGCATTTAGATGGAAAATTTCAACTGACTCATGTTTACTGATGATTTTTTTTTAATTTTAAATACAAGCTTATCCATGGTACTCTAGTTTAACATCTTTCATCAAACTTGGTTTTATTTTTTAAGCCATTTTCCACTTTCCGAAAGAATGAATTAAATCCTCCCCTCCTCCTTCTCTCCTACGCTCACACATTGGTCCAGCCCCATCTTGTGACACCACATTTTAAGTCTTGGGATGTATGTGCCTTATTTTCTGCATCCTGTCAGTTGAAGGGGCCCGTTGGCGTCACCTGGTGCTGAGGCTGCGGAGCCTGCTGGCCCCAGGTGTGTGTGCCCAGCTGGGTCTGAGCCATCTCGTCACCTGGTATTCTGCGTGGTTTGAAACTCATCGGCGAATGTTGTTTTCTGACAAGTTACCCCCTGTGCATCCTGCAAATGTGTAAGATTAAAAAAGAAATAATACAAGTTCTGGATTTATTTGTGGGTTTTTTTTTCACTTGGTTTAGTTTTTTTTTTTTTTAATAAAATGTATAATCCTTTTTAAAAAGAAAAAAAAAAGTGTAAATACATTTAAGTATTGTAGGCCACGTGTTTGGGTGTGGCCGCTCCAGGCCCTCCTCCGCCAGCCTGCGGCCCAGGCCAGGGCCTTGCCAGGAGGAACTTGACCTTTGCTTTGGAACCACTTAGTCCTTTTATAACAAATTTTAAAAAAATAAAAAAAAAATGTTTCTTACAATGTCAATAAAAACTTTGTATTGAACCTTTTCTGCCGGATTGTCTGTTTAATTCATAATGGACCGGAAAGAGTACTGTCTGAAAAAGTCCAGAGTCCCATGTGTAGGTCCAGAACTCATCACATCCCCTGAAGGGAGACATGAGATGACCTCGCATGGAACATGGGTCCCCCTACTGGGGGGGATCAGGTCCCCATTGCCTTTCAAGTTGGTCTTCCAAGTTAAGACCCCAAGGCTTCTCCAGACCTGACACCTGGCCTCTTGTATCATACAGGAAAGGCAGGTGCACCCCCAGAACCTACGGATGCCAGTGTCTCCTTTGTCCCTTGCAGTCAACAATAGTGTCTTGCTCAAGTAAGACATAGGCTGTGGATGAGGCCTAGTGGCTTTGAGTGAGGGGTCCAGGTTCCCCCGTGGGAAGGAGGATGGGCATAAACTGAGGGAAGTTGGGGGTGCATGGGCACATGATATGAGAGGGAATTCAGTGGCCTCTAGAGCAGCAGGCCACATGCCAGCCACTCAACAAGCCATCCACAGCAGGACATGTGACTCCACGCACCCACCAAGCAGCGTGGGTACTGCCAGCTGGAGACTTGGCATGGATTTGCTCAAGCTCTGAGACATCTAGAACTCTCCCAGGCGAGAGGGTCAGGTCCAGGAGAGGGGAGAGGAGAGGGAGAGCCTGAAACTTCCTTGTGATGTTCCTCATTCTTCCTTCTCCTTCTTCTTCTTCTCCTATCCCCTGTTCCTCTCCTCTCTCCTCTCCCTCCTTCTCTTCCTTTCCCTGCTCCAAGGGACTTGCCCATGTGAACTATCTCAAAAGGGATAGGATGTGGTTGGGGTTCAGGGACCAGCAAGCATAGGAATTTCCTGGGTTCCAGGGGACAAATGCCTGTCCTGGGAAGTGGGAATGGGTGGCTGGTGGGCCAGGCAGGGCTTGGAAAGGGTCCGTGTGGAGGAACTTGTACAAGACACAAACATGACTTAGAGTTCATCCACATGCAGGTGTGGGGAAGGCCCGGGACCTTTCAGGGAGCCCTTGGCTGAATGGAGAGGAAGGCCAGGATGGGATGGGAAGAGGTGAGGTGAGGTCTGAAGCTGGTTAGGGATCATGTGAGCATCGCGTGTGAGCATTCCCTGCTGAGTTCCCACAGCGTCTGGGGAAAGCAGAGGAGAGTTGGTGCTTTGAACCCTGGCAGGTACTCCCTCCCCACCCTAGGACCAAGGCAGCAGGTGAGTAGGCTGGAGGGGCTGCGTCCCTTCCTGCTTCGTCCCGGCCCCACTGAGGCAGGCTGTGAGTGTGAGTGGGGGCTGGGGTGGGAATCAGCCCTTCCATCTCTTTCCAAGCTGGCAGAG